GCCTTTGTGTCCGCCGATTAATTTTCGCTCTGGCTTATCTCACATCTATTGCTTTTACTTACATTTCAGGTGACATAATGCCTATGCGTACCATTAAATTGCAGAGTTTTAGAAAGTGTTCCCATCTGGGGGCAAAACATTATTTCCTAAAGCTGACGCGTGGCGTATATGCTGAACGGTAAAAGCCTTATTTACGCAATCGCATCATCAGGGCGGGTGAAAAGGGCTCAGTAGGCTGCGTTCTTGACACTCCGAACAATTGCCGTATAAAGCTCCACTGCCCAGAGCCTACTTTAAGGCGAACGAACGTGAGTAGAGTTGGGCACAAAATCTGTCATAGAAACAGTAATTCGAGGGGTCACCCTTTGGGATTCACTGAAAACCAAAGTCGAATGTATGCTATTTTTCCGGAATGGCTGTGGACGCCATTTTTCTCTTTCAGAAGAATAATTCTCGAAGAAGAAAAAGCAGTCAATTTAAAAATAAGCAATGCTGTCCTTTCCATCTTTAGCTCTTGCTTCTTCACAGTGAATTTTGAAAGAATACAGCCGTTGTAAAACATTTTCATCAAATGCAAAATACTCTGATTCTGTTTCATTGAAATACGCTAACAAAAGTAGGATATCTTACTATCCCTTGTAACCGTTCGCTGTTCTCTAGAAGGACAGGAGTCAATGAAGAACGGTAAAACAGCAATTCACCTCACTGCGACTGCTTCTGAAGACATACACGATTTATAGAAGTGACACGCAAATTATCGCAGTAATCAGGGTAGGTATTGGTTCGAAAACTCTTTATTTAACTTCGTCCTCAGACAGTCATATTTAAAATTCATTTCAGGAATGCGCGTTGCTGAAACAATAATCTTTTGTCGTTTGATGCAGTGTCTTAAATATCAATATGAATCAATAAATCAATATCATGTTCCGTTTTAAATTGACATTCCAGAAAATGCAAATGTGTAGCAAGTACATGAAAAACAATGTGCAACATCTGATTTTCCTTGCTGTACTCCATAAATTGTAGAAATCCATGATCGGGGTCATTCTGTCCCGTCACTCATTTTATAACAAATTGATCTTTGCAGGATTTGTTCATAAGACACAGCATACAAGCCATGAAGAGGTATTTTAATGCATTTTTGGTCTCCTATACCACGCCTATATTTTCGACGCTTGTCTTTGACTTGCCTTGCTAGCATGTGGATGATACATTCGTCGCCATCGAACGGCATCAGATGCTGACATTCAAAAAACGTCTAAACTGCGTCTTCCCAGACATTCAATTTACGATCGAGGAGGAATAAAACAACCAGCTGGCCTTCCTGGATGTCCACCTCTGCCGCAAAAGTTGTGGTGGTCTAAAAACGAAAGTGTTCATGAAATCGACAAATACGGCGCAAATGGCGAACTTCAACAGCAACCACCCAATCAGCCACAAACACAGTTGTGTAATGGCGCTACAGCGGCGCGCTGAGACACACTGCAGTAAAAAGGAAGACACAGTTGATGAATTACAATATCTTCGACGGGTACTGAGAACAAATGGCCACCCTAGCAACTTTGCCAATCAGTGCAAACATAAACGAAACCATAGACTAGATCCAGCCGGTCCCACATTTTGGCGAGCTCTTCCATCCGTGAACAATGTCTCGGAAGCCGTCAATAGTCTTTTTACTCCTCTTGGAGTTGGGGTTGCACACAAGCCAGAAACAACCATTAGGCTCCAAGTCATGAGGCCAAAATACCCACTTCCACAGCAGGAAACTTCAGGAGTCGTTTACCGGATCTGGTGCAGTTGCGGACATAGCAACTACGTCCCCGTTCGCGAATTGTCCAGCACGCAGAAGCAGTGAGGCGGGGAGACGTTAGCTCTCAGGTAGCGGCTCAGTCGACGGGATTCGGCCATATTTTCAAGTTTCAAGAGGTAGAAATCATCGCAAGGGATGGCAACTGCGTGGGCCGCGAGCTGCTCGAGTTATGGTTCTCAGGCCCGCAATCCATCAACAAGCGCAATGACCTCCCTGTATCGCATTCTGTGTTAAGATTTCCCCTGGGCAGGGTAATCAGTCAAGTGGGGAGGGCGCGGGCGAGCAATTATCCCAGTGACATTTAGCCAATTTGTCGAGCATTCCTCACACCAACATCCAACACGGATGACGAAATTATGGCAGTTAACGACTCAGACTGACAAGCCACCACCGCATCGATTACGGCCCCAGCGGTGATTGCAAGACATGTTAATTACAGTGCGCATGCGTGCTATAATTTTTTAGGAATGCACCCAATGCCACGTTCTTCAATATTTGGACAAATTGGTGGCTAGCGCGATTTATTGACAGTCCGATTAGTGGAAGAATACATATTCCCTTTTGTACACAGGAATGGTAGTCGTAAGAATCGGCCGTGGGCCTGTTCTACGGTCTCCCAAAAGCGTACAAAGAGGACGCTCCACTTCGACCAATCATATCACTAGAAGGCACTCCAAACCACGGACTGGCAAAGTGGCTGTTACGACGTTTTAAGTTTCTGACTTCTGATACGAACACCTCAGTTAGATTGTCAACAAAATACTTAGGAAAAATTTATGTGGGTAAACCTTTGGTCGAGCGACGTTATGTTGTATTTTAATGCCACGTGCCTCTTTGTTTCTGTTCCGCAGGACCTGGCAGTCTATTCGAGAAAAATATGCCGAGACGGAGAATTGCCTTAGACACGCTCAAATACTTCAACTCCTGAAGTCCCCGTTTAAGACATACTTTACCTTCGAATAGTGAAGGCCGTCCTACAGGGGTTGGATTCGCTGGTTCTTGGCACCACAGACAAAAATTTTTGAACTCGGTATGTTAATGATACCTTTAATGTCATTGAATGAGATTAGGTGCGGACATTCAAATGACATCTCGACGCCAAATTCCCTGACATTCATTTTACGATGGAGAAGAAAGAAAACAACCACCTGGCCATTCTACGTGTCCTCATTTACCGCAAAAATTGCCATAGTCTAAAAACCGAAGTATTAAATAAAGTGACAAATAGACTCAAGTACTGAACTTCAATAGCAACTTCCCGATCAGTAACATACGCTGTTGTGTAAGGACGCAGTAACTGTGTGTCAAGATGAATTGCAGTGAAACGGAAGGCAAGGTTGCTAAGGTACAATTTAATCGACAGGCAGTGAGAGCTAATGACTACCCGCGCAACCTTGTCAACCAATACATATGTAAACTACACCGGCGACCAAATCCCAACTGGCCTTAAATTTTGGAGAACGCTTCCGTGCGTGAAGAACTCATTGGACGACGTCAGTCGTCTTCCCACACCACTAGGATTAGAGGTTGCACCTATACAGGAGCCAACCATCAGGAACCAGGTCATGAGACCGAAAAACCTACTACAACGGCGGTAAACGGCTGAACTCGTTTACCGGATCTAGTGTTGTTGCAGACAGAGCAAGTGCGTCAGAGATACTGAGAGATTACTTCGTACGCAAACGTTAGCTCCCAGGCGGCGGCTCTTTAGACGGCACTTGACCGTGTTTTCAAGTTTACAAAGGCCAAACTCCATGCAAAAGTTGATAGACCCCGTGAGCTGAGAGCTGCTTAATGAAATTGCGCCGACTAACGACTCAGGTGCGGACCGCTGAGCCACCATCTGATCCGTTACGACCTCCGGCGGTGACCGCGATAACTGTTAGTTATCGTACGCATGTCGTCCCACGACAACTACGTACTATAAATACTGCACTCTCTGTGTCTCCACTACCTTCATCTGCGACTGTCAATGTTGGGAAATTCGAGGTAGAGTCCGAAAGAGCAGGCCAGTAAACTTGTTGTCCTTCTAAACTGCTTCTCGGAACTCGCCTGTTTGTTTCTAACGGAGTTTATTTGTACAGTCCAAGGTTTATGGACCACCGCTCAAAGTGGAGGATCGACGTTCCAGTAACCGACAACAGGTCGGGAAGTGCAGGGCTACGCGTCTCAGTCGCAACCGCCTGTATCTGTGATTCAGTGAAATAAGTTTTTCCTACAGCCAAAACCAGTTATGAAAGGCTCAGATGCGTTGAGATACAGGTTGTGCAGACGGTTTGGTGGTACTTTAGGCTGGACAGCCATTATTGGCGCTGAAACCGGCAGACAATTAGGGCCGTTTTTAAACTACTCATCTCTGGATATTTTATTTAAAGAAGCATATTTTCCAAAACACTGACCTTTATTTTCATGAAATGTTACCTACATATAAACTCTTATGCGATCGTGTTTAATTAAAAGCTTAAGCTGCTCGAGATAGGACGGTCAACGTTTTCCTGAGGTCACAGGACTTGACAGGTTTTTGGACAGATTCGATCGCTTTGCAGCGAATTTGGACTATTGCAAAAAAGCGAACAGACAAGTCTCAGGAAGCAGTCTTGAAGGGAAGACACGATCGTTGGGACAAGAGCTTTATTAGCCTGACGTTTCGGATTCCTGCTAGAAGACATCCTCAGAGACAAAAACAGATGCGGATTGCTCATGCAGAAGAGGCTGCAATAGTTATAGGATGCAGTCGCCATGATACTGCATATCGTTGAATATACACGGCTCCTCCCTTCATCAAGGGTCGTTTCGCTTAGTGTGCTAATTGTTTGATGGCCGACATTTGCGTCGTTAACTGCTGAAATCTTACCACGTGCGTTGGATGTTGGTTTAATGCTTGCTCGAACATCTGATGCACTGACCCTGGTGCTGGGAAACGTGTTCACCTGTGCGCTCCCTGCGTGGCTGTTTACTCCGCCTAGGCAAAGTCTCAGCAGTGAGTATGGAATGGGAAGATCATCGCACTTGTTAATGGACTGGGGGCCAGTAAACCACGACTCAAGCAGCTCCCAGTTCATACGGTCGTAATCTATTGCGAGAGTCCCGGCTTCGTCACCAGCATCCAGCGCACGCGATAAAATTGCAGCAATTAACGACGCGAATGTAGGCCATCAAACAGTCAGCACACCAAGTGCAACGATCTCCGATGAAGGAAGGAGCCGTGAATATTCTAGGTAGGCAGTAGCATGGCGACTGCGTCCTATATGTACTACAGCCACTTGTGCATGGGCCATTCGTATCTGTTTTTGTCTCTGATGATGTGTTCCAGCAGGAATACTAAACGTCAGGCTAATAAAGCTCTTGTCCCAGCGGTCGTGTCTCTGTCTATAAGTCAGCCTGATGTATTGCGTTTGGCGAATTTTATATGCCGTAAAAGCTTAATTGAAAATACAGTCTAAGTGTGAAAAATACGATGCTCTTTAGTTGGATCTTGTAACTTAGTTGGCAAATAGTCAGTTTTGTGGAAGCCTCCCCCCATTGCCGTGGAAATCTGAAGCTCGCCTAAGTTTCCATAACTTGCTTAATCAGATTTTCCCCAAACGTCTCAAATGAAAATGGTTTTGGTTGTCAACTAGTGGATTCTAAAGTTTTAAAGAAGGCGAAAGCACGATCACTGGGACAGTAGGTTTATTTGCCTGAGCTTTCGAACTCGAACTAGAGTTAATCGTCAGAGGCTACTCGAGTGTCTCACTTTTCACGTCCATCCCACCAGACTTGGCGCGCGACGTGCTACGCAAACGTCTCGAAGAAAAGTACAACGAAACGACAGGGCCGCTAAAGATCCAGCACCTAATGCAGCTCTTTGCATTCTGCCAACGGACCTTTTTCACCTTCGATGGCAGAACATACGAACAAATCAAAGGAACACCCATGGGTTCCCCAATATCCAGCCTAGTTGCGAAATTGGTCCTACAAGAGCTGGAAAAGGTTGCTTTCAGCCATTACAAACCTGCGTTTTGGTGCCGATACGTGGACGATACATTCGTCATTATTGAAAAGGACAAGCTCTCGGGTTTCCAAGACCTACTTAACAGCATATTCCCCGACATTCAGTTTACAAGAGAAGACGAGGAGGACGAGAAACTACCCTTCCTGGACGTGCTCGTCACGCGCACACCTGACGGTGAACTGAACTACAGTGTACAGAAAGGCGAACAATACAACCCAGGTCCTCAACTATCATAGCAACCACCCATTGGTGCACAAACGGGGATGTGTGAGGGCGCTTTTCGACCGGTTAAAAACGCATTATAGCGAACCTGAAGGAACGATGCAAGAACTACGGCATCTCAGGAACCAATTGAGAAGGAACGACTACCCAAATAGTTTCATCAGCCGCTGCGTACGCGCCCACGACGGACAAACGGAAGAGAGACACCAACAATTTGGCACTCCCTACCGTACATAAAGAATGTGTCCGAGGCTACAGAACGCATCGCGTCAGAGCTAGGCGTGGGCATCGCTCATCATCCGGCGGCCACCATGCGTAGCAGGATCATGAAAATGAAGGATCGGCTGGACGCAAGTGGACAGTCGGGCGTAGTCTATCGAATCCCGTGCCAAAACTGTTCTTGCCACTACACAGGCCAGACAGGAAGACGTCTGAGCTCACGAATACTTGAGCACAAACGGGCCGTTCGGAGAGGCGACCCACTGTCTCAAGTAGTCACTCACACGCTCAAGGAAGGGCGTGAGTTCGACTTCGCCAACACGCAGATATTGGCGCGAGCCGGCAACAAGACAGGGCGAGAGCTGTTGGAGGCGTGGGTGTCGGACACCAACTTCATCAACAGACACATCGATTTGCCTGCCTGTTATCACGCGCTCCGCCCACGCAGCCATTTGGCGCAGCTCACACCGTCGCGAAGTGCAAACGGCGTCACCACGCCAGGGGGAACATCGTGGACCAGGCGGCACAAACCCTACCACGGACGTACTCCCCCTCCCCTTCCCCCCCACCCGCAAGGATGAACGATATAAATATTCACAATTTGCTGCACTCGAGTAGCCTCTGATGATGAACTCTAGTTCGAGTTCGAAAGCTCAGGCAAATAAACCTACTGTCCCAGTGATCGTGCCTTCGCCTTCTTTAAAACAAGAACCTGGGATGCGCATATTCTCTTCCATTCGTGGATTCTAAAGTGATTGCAGAGAAGGTGAAACGATCGCTAGAATAAGTGCTTTATAATCTGACGTTTGGGATTCTCACTAAAATCCATCCTCAGATACAGCTACAGATAATGGTAGTGGATTGCCCAGGTGTTGCAAAATTTGTAGGATGTAGTTGCTAGGCCGCTACCTGCCTATCAAAGTTGGCAGCTCCCGCGATGCTCTCAACTCTCATCTTGTAACTCAGTTGGGAAGGTAGCCTACCCTCACAGCCCTCAGAATCTGAATTTCGCCGTAGTTTTCACAATTTGCTCAATCAGATCTTCCCCAAAACTTTTCGATGAAAATGGCCAGGATTTTGGTGGGTAATTGTCCAGGAAAGCCTTTATGAGCATTCAGCCCGAAATATTAGAATTGCGAATTCTGCAGCAGATCCAAATCTTAGAAAACTAACACTTCGGATCAGGCCATTTAAGTTTAGGCGATTAAGGCGTTAATAATAACTAAACCTTGTCTTTTCTAATAACAGTTTAAGATGTATTGGAGCTCTGAGGATCTTCACACTTCTGAAGACAGCAAAGCCAAAATAATATTTTTATATAGAACGAAATTAGGTACAGTGTGTGGTCAGAAAGACATCATCAGAAAAACAAATTTATTTGCGTATAAAGGATGGGAGATAAAACAGCTTAATTTCGGTTTACAAAACAATGTCCATGAGAAAGGAAATTACAACTGCAAAAGTCCAGATGTAAATGGATTTATGAGAGTAAGGTTGCATTAGTTAGCATAGAGCAGTGTTGGGTGATGAGTATAAGGGGAGAAGCAAAGCTTTTATTTAACAGTGACATCTCAATCGTCTTTGGTAGACGAAAACAATTATAAATGATAAATGTTAGTCGGCCGATTGTTTATCTGCTAAGTTCTTGTTTACAAGAAATATGCTCTTTCTTGGAGATTCAGTCAACCACCTGCATTGGTCTGGACGAGAAGCGAATAACTAGGATATATGTGTCCGCGTAATTTGAGCGTTGAAAGTGAAATATCGGGACACTAGACCACAGAATATGACCATACAGGCTCCAATGGATTGCAATCATTCCATCATCAAAACCCAATGAGCCTTCGTTCGTCAAAACGGCTCAGGGTGAATCAGAGGCCTACCACTCAATTTCTGATTCGAATTTTGGTTCCGCCAAAATTATCAGGAATAACTATGACCCAATATTAATAATTGCATCATTGGTTATTTGAGCGAAAGTTCAATGAGACATTGTACGTACCTCGTCAAAAAGGAGTACTCCATTTCGTAGGGAACTATTTATGCGACCTGGTTTGTTTATCTCAAGCAGCAAATTCTTCTTTTACTCGTTTTTGACTCCCGAAAATTCCAGGCGTCCGCTGCAAATTGCCGCGCTCAGGTCATTCAGAAAACGTTCAAACTTTCCAATAAGTATCTGCCTGGGGTGGGCTTACAAGGCAAAAGATTATCATAGTTCTTAGTTTGAACTGTGACGTCATCGCACTCCGCCGGGATTGTACCGAAAAGGGAAGAAGTCATGCTGGGACAGTAGACTTCGCTCGCCGCAACGAAGAAAGCACATTCGTTAGGTAGGGACCGGCCCACATTTGAAGAAATTTCCGTTGTAAATTTCTCGACTGGCTAGTGCTTAGACCCGGCATTTTGTCGGCCTAGCTGCTAATGGTCGATGAAGGTGGCTTCAGTATTCTCTATTCTTTTATGCTCCGCGCAGCCCTCAGTTGCAACTAGGTGGCATGTCTCGTCTTTTTTCCGATTTCTATTTTTATGACCTTGACAAAGAGGTTTTTAAGTTTTCAGACCATTCTTTACCTAAAAGCAACTCATTGCGATCCAAGTAACCTCCGTCCACAATCAAAGCCAAGTGCGCGATAACTCTGTTTTCTTACTGCCTTTCAGCCAAATGAACGTTCTTGCGGTATGAGCTTATTTTTTTCTGAAACACTGAAACAAACAGCGAAGATCGAACAGATGGGAGATCAGATACTGTATCGGTTCTTTTGATTGCGAATAGACACGCTAAATTAGGTATACAATATATCATACCGGCCATCTTACAGGCAAAATTGAATATCGAAATTGCATGGATCGAAGATCTTGCCTTCGCGGCGAGATTAACTCCGGATGGGGTTTGCCCGAATTTGTCGAATAGTTTATTGTGACCTTGACTTATTTTTTATATCGAAGATACGGTTGCATAGTTTGAAACGAGGATGCAGGTTCGGTCATAATTTGTTAACATGCAGGTGATACACGAGGGTGAAATTAATCTACTTAAGTTCAAGCACATGACTTTACGAGATGGCATGCGTCCCACTGCATACAATTTCTCGGCCCTAACATCATAATGCACGATATGCTGTCTTCCGAAAGTTTTTTCCTGTCTATTTAAACGTCATGCGGTAAGCCTAGCCTGTTCTGTTCGAGACAAGTGGTTTCGGAGAAAACTACAAGAACTTCTATTTGTAATAAGAACCCAACATCTCCGTCGGGCAGCGGTTTTTTAAAGCCTTGCGTAAAAATACGATTCGCAGAATATCATTGCTACCTTTCTTAGGCCCCTAATCAAAGACTGAAACAGATAGAAACAGTTGGTGTAAATGGATTGTAGTGCATATATAGGACGCAGTTGCTGTGCCAAGACATATCCATTGAAACTGGCTGCTCCCTCATTCTTCGCAAGTTCTTGTGACCGCTGGCAGGGCACCTTCACTCAAGTCACTAATTGCCCTAATGTCGTCACCATGATTATAGTTTAGACACTGGGTTAACCTTTTCTGCGGCGTTCACCTGCATACACACCGCTCCGCAAAGTACTCCGCCTAGGAGACGTCAAAGGGCCGAATAGGGAGGGTGTAATCATTGGTACTGGCACTAGACCGGGAGTCGGAGAACCCCGAGGTAGGCAACTCATGACAAATACTAATGTCGTCGCTCGTGAGAACTTCGGTCTGCTCAAACTGAACGGTGGAGGTGGGGGGGACCCATCGAGTAATTCGAGGCCATGCCATTGGCGTTATTCCTTCTCATTGTTGCCGCTCGGTTCGCTTATTAGTGTCCGGTACGGTCTCCTCAACCCAAGTGGTTAGTCTACAACCGCAGTAAATGAGCACGAATTTACAAAACGGCTCTAACACAGGGTGATCGAACTAACCCATACGTGGGAAATGATGTATGAGGTAAAGGTGAGAAGCAGTTACGCAGACCACAAGGTGCACATTCGCTTGAGAACAGCGAACTGGTATATTACGGCAGACGGACCTTCACCGATCGTTTTTGCGGAACTCACTTGTTTCGTCGTGCCTTGGGGCTCAGTCCCGAGCCCAACCAGCAAACGACAGCGTCGCATGTCACAAGCCAAAAAGCGTTACTTACAAAGGCAAAGGAGACTGGAGTAGCCATTTCTGGCTTATAAGCCGTTGTCGGACAGTCATACCCAGCTGGTATATAATTTCTTGTCAAAGATACCGGCGAACGCTCAAGTGAAATTACAACAACGAATGGACTCAGTCATGTTGGGCCAGTTAACATGATCGCAGAGCTGTGGTCGGTTCTCTGCCAGACGCAAGAGAGGGATTGGATAAAAACGATACCCGACGTTGTGGACCATTCTCCCCTACTGCGCACAGGCCATATAAAATGCTTGAGGAGCCTGAACACGCAAAGCCAACTAAGGGAAAACACAGGCCTTATTATGTTGAGGACCGACAAGGGGCGTTCCTTTGTCCTAATTGATTAAATAGATCAACATTTGAAGGCCAATTGCCTACGGGAGAACCAGCAGTTTCATGTCTGATGCAAATGCAACCCCAGTATGATGCTTGCACGATATATCGATGCGGCATTTTGCAAAGTGGAGAACCTCAGAGAAGTATTTCCACACAACGGAGAAACGGGAATGCCCAAGGAATTGCTTTGGTTTCGGTCTTATTTCAACCCCTAGTTGCTCTCGGATTTAGTGACCGTTAGGATGCCTATTCCGTTAGTCCACGTTTCTTCCTGACGATTGAGATTGTAGTCAGTCCATTTATGTTAT